TGACGATGACGACGATGATGATGATGTGATAAGATGATGATGAGGATGATGATGACGATGATGATGATATGATTATACTGATGTGATGATAGCTTGGCGATAGTTTTTCAAGTGATAATAATGAATGATAATGGTGATGGTGTTAATAATAGCAATGATAACGCTGAGGCAGATGTCAGAATTGGAACAGCGGTTAAACAGCTGAGAGCCATTGATCCTGACGTAAACTCTACGCTCACTTACCGAATTCTCCAGCAAACATCCTTCAACAACAAAAAAACAATTGGCAAAAGTCGAGGCAGCGAAACTAACTACAACCACCGAAACGAAATTACCAACAACAACAACAACGACAACAACAACAATAACAACAACGACACTAACATCAACAGCAACAACGACAACAACATCAACAACAACAACAACAATGATAAGAGCATAGTTAAAAATAAGGAAGAACTGATACAAGTCATAAACCAACAACAAGATAAACGCCAACTAACTCCGGAACAACGACACGTACTGTTTCTGATTCAGCAACAACAACTTGAGCAACAACAACAACATCAACAACAACCTCAACCACGACATCAACAACAATATTTTAAGATCAACGAAACTACGGGACAGATCTCAACTTCATCTCAATTAGATTATGAACTACATACTAAATATATACTTCTCGTGCAAGTGAGATAGAATCATCATTGACTAATTGATGACATTAACAAATAATTAATTTAACTAATTAATTAACTATCTAGCGAACTAATTGGTCAATCTAAATTGTTTAAACTTCACGATAAACTAACATAATCTGTTGTTGTTGTTGTTGTTGTTGTCTAGACGCTTTAACGCCACCTTACGATAATTTGAACATTGTTGGCTATCATTTATTCGTTTTTGAATTGTTTGTAATGATTGGCTATTCGTAGCATTTTTGTTATGTGTTTTTTACAATAATTTATTTGTTTATGTCTATTAATTTATGTTAATTCATTAATTTATGTTAATTTATTAATTTATGTTAGTTCATTAATTTACGTTAGTTCGTTAATTTATTGTTATTCATTAATTCATGTTAATTTATTAATTCATGTTAATTCATTAATTCATTAATTTATGTTAATTCATTAATTTATGTTAATTTTTATTAATTTATGTTAGTTCAATAATTTATGTTAGTTCATTTATTTATGTTAGTTCATTAATTCAGGTTAATTCATTAATTTATGTTAATTCGTTAATTTATGTTAATATTCATTAATTTTTACAAATTCTTGTTGTTTTATTCATTATTATTTTTCATTGCCTAGGTGTCAGACGGGCTGCACAATTCCAGTGGCCAGCTGACCATCCAGGTTGCAGACGTTAATGATAACCCTCCGGCATTCAGTCAATCTGTTTATAATGTAATTTATATTTCATAATTGATCATTTAGTCAATCAATCGATCAATCAATTAACTAATCAATTAGTTAATTAATTAATTAATTAGTGACGAAAAATTATTGCTGTTATTTTTGCTGTTCGTTATCCGTATCACATTGAAAATACGTCATCATCGTCATCATTTCTATCACCATATACCGTCGTCATGTTTTTAATCAAGGTTTCAGTTGTTATATATTGAAGGCTAAAAAAGGTCTTTTCCAGGATTCCCAGGGACCAGCAACACACAAGCATCGTGCATGAGTTATACGACACATCACACACGAAGCATTTGATTGGTGGGGATCTTTTTGTCGTATTCGAACCCAGTAACTGCACGCTCTGCGATACATCGCCAGGCGACCTTAACTACTTGGCCATTACGCATTATGATTATGATTATTTTTCTTATTACTATTACTATTACTATTGTTTTTATTTGTGTTATTTTTGTTCTTTTCGTAACCTTATAGGTAAAGGTCAGCGAACTGACGCAACCACACGAGTCAGTGTTGAAGATACGAGCCACCGACGATGATGGTGATGAAGACGCTGATAATAATAATAATAATAATAATAATAATAATAATAATAATAATAATAATAATGCTTTCATCACTTACGATATAATCAGTTCCGATCACTTTTACATCAATCCCCTTAACGGTAAATGATACGATGGTGGTTATGATTGTGATGGTTATGATGATGATGATAATGATTATGACGGTAATGTTAATTGTGTTAATGCTGGTGATGCTAATGATGATGATAATGACAATGATGGTGATAGTGTTGCTGGTGTTTATTCAGCAGCGTTACGCCAGACCCGAGTTAGTTTAGCGAAATAATTAGAAAATGGCTCTCTGAAGACGTTTGTTTTGAGATATCGCTCGGAAATAAAGACGACAGTTTAACTAATGTTCAACTAATAATTTGATATAAACTAGATAGAAGAAGATATAACCTTTACAATGATATATAACTATCAATATATCCAGTGAAATTAATTTGAAAAATTTATGCCGAAAAAAAAAATTTTACACTAATCTGACATAATTTTCGCACCAACCTAATATATAATATTTATATGATACGTTAACGATCATCTTCTTACAACAGGCTCCATCTTCACCTCCGTCAAACTCCTGACCTTGAATAAAGGTCAAGCCAATCACGTGATCGAGTTTGTCGTCAGGGCGACAGACCACGGCAACCCGCCACTATCGAACGTGGCCGTCGTCAGGGCGACCGTTGTGGACGCCGACAACCACAGGCCGTACTTCGTTGGCCAGTTGAATAGTAGATTAGTAATCAGGGAGAATTTGATTGACAGGGCCGGGGGCGGGGCGGTCTTCAAATTTGATGCCGATGACGATGACGTCAGTGACGAGAATAGAAAATTTCACATTAGAATTTGCCATGTGGAGAATTTTTTCCACAGTAGTAGTAGCGGTAGTGATGGTGACAGTGATTGTGACGTAGAAAAAATTGCTAGCTACAGTAGAGGTAGTGGTAGTAATAGTATTAGTAGTAGTAGTAGTGGTAGTAGTAGTGGTAGTAGTAGTAGTAGCAGTAGTAGTGTTGGTAGTGATTCTTTAATTCGTAGCAACAAATGTTACTATTCGGATCACGATGAATACGATGATGATGATGACATCAGTGATGATGGCAATGGTGTCATTAACAACAAAAATAACAACGACCATAATAATAATAATATTAATAATAATAATAAAAACAATAATAATAATAATAACAATAACAGTTTTAATGTGAACAACAACAACAACAACAACAGCGCTAATACCATTTATAATGATGGCGCGAGTGAATACGATGACGACGACGACGACGATGATGACATCACGAAGATAGTAAATAATGATGATGATGATAGTTGTGGTTATTTTCACGTAAACAAAAGAACGGGAGAATTATATTTGCTGAAACCTCTGGATAGAGAGAGGTACGACCGTCACAGGATTGTCGTTGCTGTGGCTGGCAATGATAGCGATGGCTGTTACGACAGCGATGATGATTATGATGATTATACTAGTAGCAGTACCGCTGATGATGGTGATGGTGATGATGGTGTTTATAACGATGCCAATAGTAAAGTGATGAAATTGAGATATCGAAGATCATACTCACGTGTACGGTCATCACCATCTTCATCACCATCATCATCACCATCATCATCACCATCATCATCACCATCATCTTTATCATCATCTTCTTCCTCCTCGTCATCATCATTAGCAACGTTGGACATCATCGTATCAGATGATAACGATCACGCCCCCACGCTCGCCAACTTCACTAATCGCTACGAAATTCCGGAAAATTTAAAAGTGGACTCCATCATAACGACCATCAAAGCGCGTGACGAAGATTGCCATGACAACGCGAGGATTACGTATTCGATAGTCGCTGGAGATGAAGGGGGTGCGTTCTACATCAATGACGTCAGTGGGGTTCTGAGTTTGAGGGCCAAATTGGATTATGAAACCAGGTGATGATGATGATGATGTCTGTTATGATGATGATGTGATGATGATGATGATGTTTGTTGTGATGATGATGATGTTAGTTGTGATGATGATGATGTTTGTTGTTGGTAACATCGATAATGGTGTTACTGAAAAATAATTATGGGTGAGGTATGTAAGTGGGATGGTAATGGCGGAGAAAATTTTGTGATGCCTGTCGAAGTCAATTTTTGTCAATCTTCAATTTCAAACATTACCGTTACCGTCAATTTGATCCATCACCTTCCACCGCCTCAGATCCGATTATCACGTGACCATCCTGGCCAGGGACAACCCCCACCGCGGTCAGCACCTCTCCTCGCTCTTCACCATCCAGATATCGGTACTGGACGTGAACGAGTACAAACCGATATTCACGAATATCATGTACATCGCCACACTACGCCCCAGCTCCCCCATCGGGAGTGAGGTATTCACCGTCAGGGCGGCCGACAGAGATGGGGGCGTGTTTGGCGTGGTGACGTACAGGCTATTTCAATTAAGCGCTGCAGAATGCGTTGCGTTACGCGTCGATCCGGTATCCGGTTTGGTTGGGACGAGTTCGTTTGTGAGATGTGACGTCGGTGACGTCATCAAGTTGTTGATCGTTGCTGAAGACGCCGGGGGGTTCAACTCGACAGTCAACGGAGTCGTCACGGTCAAAAGCGAAAGAAGTAAATATAGTTTTGGAAATTCCAGCTATTTTTATCGACTGCCTGGGAATTCCAAAGCCGGTCTAGTTTTCGGACGTGTTAGCGTTATGGTTGACAACGAATTCACGGACGGTGATGATGTCGACGAGCATGAATATTATGCTGCTGATGCTGATGAGGAGGATGAGAATGTAGAAAGTAGTGATAATTATGATGATGGTGATGATAATTTGCTCTACCTGGAAAAGGTTGAAGTGAGTTATCGGATCGAAGAGGATGTTGGCTGGCTGGCCATCGGGAGAAACACTGGTCAGCTGGTTCTCAGGTTGGATTTGCTGGACCTGCAGTATCGCCATCCACAACAGCAGCAGCAGCAGCTACAAAATATGATACAAAGTCAGCTATCATCATCACCTCCATCATCATTGTCAGAAACAGTCCATCTCACGGTGACTGCCCAGTTTGAAAGGGACAAAGAAATTCAAACAAAGATAAAAATAGAAATAGATAGGACGTGCCCCGGCTGCTCATTGGCTACGTTGGATCAGCCAATCAGTTTCGAAAATTCGTCGTCGTTCACGCGCTCTCACGTGATTATGCTGGCTGCCTTCTTGCTCGGCTTCATTGTCGTCATGACGACAGTCGTCGTCGTCATCACCACATTTCATCGCCGGAAGAGGAAGTTGGATAAAGTGGCGATTGCATCTAGGCAGCCTGTTAACGGAAAAGCTGATCACGTGAACATTAAGTCATTGGACACGGCGTTGCTGACCAATCAGAATCAGCGCTTTGTTTACAGTAATGATCTGAACAACAACGTTATCAATGACATCCACAACCACAATGATAACCTTGTTGATAATGATGATGATGATGGGAACGACGGTTATAATGATAACACGGATGATAACATTAACGACACTATATTGGACAACATCAATTCTGAAGGAACCAACCGAGCTGACAACATGGCAAATGCCGGAAGTAAGGTTTTTAACGAGAGGAAGGCCATCTATCGCTCCGTGAAGAAAATAAACGCCAATAAAAATAAAATTATATCACCAGCATCGCTGACATCACCTTTATCAACATCATCATCACCACCACTGTCATCATCATCATCATCGTGTACAGACGAGGAAGTTAAACTGATCAACAAATGTTTCACTCCGGTCAAGTTCATCAGTGGACCTGTTGACGGTGATGCTGATTATGATGATAACAAATTTTGTCAACAACAACAACAGCAGCAGCAGCAGCTATTGCTGCAGCAGCAACTGGCACAACAGCAGCAGACCCAACAGGTCAAACAACCGTCGCATAGACACTTCAAAACTACACCTCGCTCTTGTTTTTTGCAACCCCAACAACATCAGTATAATCAACAACTACATCTTCTGTTAGACCATTGTAAGCAACGCCAGCAGCAGCAGCTGCAACGGCTGCAAAAACAGCCTAACCACAAGCAACACCAGTTAATGTCAATCGACAGCATGCATTTGTTCTGCGACGAAGGTGGCGGTGAAGCTTCTTGGCTTGATGTCTCAAACAGCAACATCAGTGACAGCATCAACAACATCAACAACATCAACATCGACAACAGCATTAATGGCAATATTGACAGCCGTGTCAACAACAACATCGTTGACATCAACTGCAACATTTGCAACAATGTTGGAAACATTTGCAACAATGTTGAAATGTTTCACAGCAATGTTGACAACATCCAAAACAATCCCAGCAACAACTACGGCACCAGCTCAAACAAGAACAAGATAGAATACGATAGAAACGTATTCGCTTTTAAGAACAGCTATAATTATACAAGAAATATTAGCAACAAAGACAATAACAAAAATTACATTAACTTGAAACTAAACTACCCCGCTTACATTAACAAAACCAATGATAGCATTAATAACAACAACATTTTAAAAGTGCATACAAATTATAACACAAATGGTTTTAATGTTTTTGTTGACAACAACAACAACAATAATAATAATTATAATAATTACGTCGATGATGGCGATGAAAGTCAAGACAACAATGTCTGCGGGATTGTTCCCTCCAAACAAACGTCATCAAAGATTAAGTATAACGCGAATGACAACATAGATATAAACAATACGGATGATAATTTATTAACAGATGATGACATAGAAAGAATAATGACGTGGTTTCCTAATTATCACTCGTTGCCTCCGAATTTTTCGTGCATTATCCGCCCTGAAAAGGTTCAACTACTTGCCGCTAAAAATCTCAACAACAACAACAACAACAGTAATAATAATAACAGTAATAATAAGAACAGCAGCCAATGTTATAACAGTAATAATTTAAAGTACTGAATGTTGTTAATTTTAACTAAAATGTTTTAGCGAGTTCCTCAAATGGTCTCAAACCAACCTAAATTTTTTTTCAATCAATCAATCAGCTTTTTCAATCGAACAACTTTTCAATCAGTTAACTTTGAAACCATTCAATCAAATTATTCATTCATTTATTTACACTATTTATTTTTCACCAATGTTTTTTAACTTGATTTTGGTCGAGTGCTTGTACTACACGTGTATGTGTTTATGCGTGTGTGAATGTGTGAGTGTGTGTGTATGTATGTGTGAGTGTGTGTGTATGTATGTATGTGCGTGTCTATACTTGTGTGTGCACTGCTATTAGCATTTGATCAGGATTAACAAACCGTTGGTATTAATGTAGTAGCAGTAGTAACAATTGTTCGCCTAACATTGAAGATTTATTTCAGTAATATTAAAAGATATTTTTGTAGCTTCGCTGTTTTATTGTTTTTTTTTTTTTTTTTTGTTAATGTAGTGATTTCTTTAGATATTTTCATATAACACGTTCGTTTATGATTCATTTGTGATTTGCTGTTTTTGCCGTGAGAAGTTTTTTCTCAAGAGTAATTGTATTCGCTCACAGCCGCAGACAAGCCTTTTCCAGCATGTGTCAAGTAAGTATTGCTTTGCTACTTGGGTAATCCAAGAATTGCTTCTTTGATACGGAAAATATTTAGTGGATTTAGTATTTAGTGTTTTGTTAGTGGATTGCTTAATTGATCAAAGAATTAGTATTTGTTTTTGTTATTTTTCATTTGTGAAGCGCCTTTTTTTTCAAAAATTGTAATGACTCATGCTTGCCTTCTCTATTGATTAACCATTCGTTATAATAATAGTATTAATAAGAATAATATATTATGTTAATTATGATGGTGGTGGAGAATATAATAATATAATATTTTATCATATTTTTTAAATATTATATAATATTTTGTAATATTTATTTGTTACCGATATAATCGTTGCTGCTGCAATTTCCTCTGCTGTTGTATTAGTAAATAAGCGAGTTTGTCTTTAATAAATTGTTACGACTCTTCTACCTTCCATTCATTCCATGCTCTTCTTACTTCCAATCGTATAACTTCGTATAATCGGAACGTGAAAATTTTTTTAGTCGGTCACCTGTAGTGAATACGTATTGCAGTTCGCCACAGATTCACCAGTAAATACAAAAATACAATGCATTCTAAAATACTTTTAAATGCTAGAACACTCATACGTTCTAAGATACTCACACAACTAGCTGACTATTTTTAAATACATAAATACTTGTAAATATTCAGATTCAATATGTCCATAACCTAAAAGTCAAAGATTTTGTTGATAATTTCAATGCAAATTAAAATGTGACGCCATGTGGACATGTAAATAATAACGTACGTAAGTGATATAAATAGCTGAAGATATTCTTTTCAGTCAATTAGAAATAACTAAGTATGCTAAAATTGTCTCTTCGGCTTTTTCTCGTTGCCTGCTTTAGAGTTAGGACTCTTACGTCAGACGACTGGAACTTGAAGGATTCGTATATTGGCTGTTTCCGGAATGTGGGATCTTCAAAGAATGCATCCATCGTCACGGAAAAAGTGGAAGAATGTGTGGAGTTCTGTGAAGATGAAACGAACAACCTGATTGCCCTGAAGAACGGCAAAGAATGTCACTGTACATATAAGCTGGACTGTGCGGTGGCCTCTTTTCTCTGTAATGTTTCATGCGCCAGCAAGCAAGCCTGTGGAGGTGAAGAATTCTATTCAGTTTATAAAGCTAAACCACGAAGGATTCATGATGGTTTCTTTTCTTTGAGCACATATCCAGTTCCTTCAATTTCAATGGATTTCGAAGGTTTCACTCTTGAGCTGTGCGCCCATTTTTGCTTCGAACACAATTACACATTCTTCCAAACTACATTGGAAGATGTATGCGACTGTAACAATGAATATGAATACAATTCAATGAACTACAGTGAATTAGTATGCAATCAGATGTCTTCATCTGACAGCAAAGAAATATCTGATTGTTTTTTTAAAAATTTCGATCATGTAAATGTCTTGTATTCGACGCGCTTTCAGTACGAGTTTCAAAGGGGTGTATCTATTCATTCCCACTGCAAAAACGGCAACGGGGATTATAAAATTGAAGAGACTTGCTCCGAAGGCTGCTTGGAAGGATGGAAAGGGAAGTCGTGTATGGAGAGAAACTGCGCTACGAACAATGGAGACTGTGGCAACGAAATGAAATGCATCCATTCACGAGTGAATGATTTTGAGTATATCGAATGCGTCTGTCCCTATGGAACCGTCCGAAACAAGTGGCATCTCTGCGAAGTCTTCAAAGTCAACTTGGCCCTGTTTAAACCATCGTACGCCAGCTCTACGCATAACGATTCAAGAAGAGGCCCGTGTGTTGCGGCACACGTTAGCGATGGAATCTACAACGGTTGGTTGGTAGCACGAGTCAGTGAAGAGGTTTCAGCCTGGATAGCTGTCGACCTCGAGAATGTGTACTGCGTTGGTCTTGTGAGAATATATGATGCAGCTCACGATAACACAAATGCAGTAGAACGCATGGTCAAGTTTGTCATTAGATTAGGTAGACAGTTTGACATAAGTGCTAAATCGGATATGAGAGATGAATTAGAAACATGTGGAATGGGACCTGATAAGAAGGAGCTGGCTGGCATTGCCATGAATATCCTGTGCGCTGACTTCACTCTTCTTTCACAATTTGTCGTAATCCAACAGGCACATCACAAACTCGCAGTCGCCGAATTAGAAGTTTACGAAGCTGGCTGCGACATAATGAATGGAAGATGTGGAGAGAAGAAATGCGTGGAATTACGGAACGCAAGTTCAACAGTTATTAACTGCGAAGAATGGGTTAATGATACCACCATCGATCAGCCATCATACGGCTGCTTCAAGAAGGTTGTGGCCGAACACGAGCACCACAGGTACGGACTCTCGTACGAACAATGTGTAAATGTTTGCAGGTCCAATTCATACAATCTGAGTGTCGTGAAAGGCGGAATGAAGTGTCTGTGCGGAAATAGGTTGACTGTATATGACGAGGTACCGGAAGAAAGCTGCAAACTGCCTCACCACCAATTCTATCTGGTGTTTCACGATTATCTTATGCTTGGTGATGATATAACAACTAGCAACACTTCAACCGCTGCTGCTAATGATTCACTGGCCGGAACAAACATCAACTTCTCCTATGAGGACGAGCCACCATCATATAGAACTGAACTCGCTAGCAGTGACGATAGTGCAGGCAAGGTAAGTACTCTCTCACTTCTCTTAAATTTTTCCCTGTCAACCGTTATCGTTGTCCTGCTACTTGTCTTGGGACGGCAACACCAGCCAATAAGACGCTTACGTGAAGAAAGAAACAGACAAGAAACAGAAGAACTAAACTGAAAAGCGCTGGAAAGAGGGAAAATTGTGGAAATGTGAGGGCGGATTTGCACGTCTGCACTTTATCCGAACTGGAAAAAAAGGAAAAAACATGAAACACATTGGTGACTTACTGATAAAAATTAATATTTTTTTACCAGATGGATTAATTATCACAGAATGGTCACATGCATTTTATTTATCATTTTATAGTGAATTTAATATTGACAACGGATCGATGAAGCTACTACAACTTCTGAAACAATGAATGTTGAATGTTACTAAACAAACTTACTGCCTGTATGATTGCCATATAGATATTTTGATAAGAACAAAATTTGTGTTACTGCATTTCATTGGATTGCTTATATGCTAGTGTGCCTATTTAAAAATAGATAAACAGTGACGTTATTACGCTCTGACCAGATTCAAACGCATATTGAATCTTTTGTAAATCTTCCAAAAAGTGTTTTTTTTTGTGTGTATTGCTTATGTATGATATGTATAGTATACGTACACACAAATGTGCATGCGTGTGTATATATGTGTATGTATATGTATGTATGTATGTGTGTGTGTGTGTGTGAGTGTGTCTTTTGCTTCGTGTAAAAACTAGAATTTATAAAAAAAACGAATATATTAAATAAATAAATAAATAAATTTGTATTAGTGAATGCGTTGTAAGTATGGATGTCAATGTGTATGTATGTGCGTGTATGCATGCATGTGTGGGAATGTGCGTGCATGCATGCATGTGTGAATGTGCGTTTACAACGGATTGGAATGCATGTGATGTTCTGAAGTTGTATCAGGTGACTTGTTTATGGATGCAAAACCTAGGTGTTTTGTGTGTGCGTGTTTATTTGTGTGTATGTGTGTGTGTCTGTGTGTTTATTTGTGTGTATGTGTGTGTGTGTCTACTTATGTGTGTGTATGTGGGTATGTGGGTGTGTGGGTGAGGAGATTCGATTGATTACGAAACGAAACAAAAAATTAGAAAGATCGTATCAGCGTCCGACAAATAAACATCCAACCCAACATCTCTTTCTTCCATACAAAGTCCAACCGAGCCAACACAGATTATTTGGTCTTCAAGAAATATTTTTGTATAAATATTTATTTCTATATTCGTTCATTCGTTTCTTCAGTTAATTATTTGTTCGTTCGTTCGTTCATTCGTTTCTTCAGTTAACCATTTGTTCGTTCGTTCGTTCGTTCTTAATCATTCTCTTGAAATAAAATGTGATTTGATTTGTTTAATGGCCGTGTTTAAAAACGCATAATCATCAGCTTATTAAATTTTACAAATTAATTTTCACGTAGGTATCTCCTTTCTTCTATCACTCCCAAAAAATATTTTCAACAATTCGTCCAAAAAGCTTTTATAAGTACCCGTAACTGTGGTTAGAAGCATCTAAGTACCCAGGAAAAGTTTAGTAACACAGATTAATTTGAACACATTTAGACACACAGACACACACACGCACACACACACACGCACATACGCACACACACACACATACACACACACACAAACAAAATACAAAATAACTCCCAGAATATCTCACGACTAATCTACATATCGTCACAACAACTACAAACAACATGCGAATTAATTACTCGCTAATACTTAATCAATTACTACAAATACACATACATGTGTATGTATGTGTATGTGTGCCTGTGCGTGTAATATTACCCGCTATAAGATGTGTGCGCGCATGTGTTTTTTAATGTATGCATGCATGTATTTACGTGATCATTCTATTTAGATTTGTATGTAGATGCGTTAAAAGGTGTGTATGTGCATGTATGTTTGTATGTTTGTATTTAAATTTGTATAAGGGTATGTATGTTTGCATGTAAATTTATATGTATGCATATTGAATTGGTATGTGTGTGTGTATGTATGTTCGTACGTACGCACGTATGTTTGTATGCATGCATGTATTTATACACGTATGTATGTATGTATGTATGCATGCATGCATTTATGTATGAATGTATGTATGTATGCACGCACGCATGTATGTATGTATGTATATATGTATTTGAATAAATGTTCTATTTTACGTATAATGGACATGGTATTATTGTTGTTATTATTATTATTATTGTTATTATTATTATTTTATTATTTTTTATTATTTCTACAAAAGGGGATTGACAGCTGGGCAAATAATATGGATCAAATATAATAAATGGGACGAAACTGATCGAAAACTTTGTCATCGTCATCACGACCATCATCATCATCTTGATCATCGTCATCATCATCTTGATCATCGTCATCATCATCTTGATCATCGTCATCATCATCATCATCATCATCATCATTCATTCACGTAATAATCATGTTATAAAGTTAATCACTTTAGAACGGCCACGTTCGTTACCGTACTCACCAAAAGTTTTTCATCATTGTAATCACAACATCATTATCATCACTACGTCCTCATCACCATCATCATCGTCATCATCATCATCACCATTATCATCATTACGATCATCGCCATCGTCAACATTGTTGTCATTCAAGCGTCAATCCATTAAACACACAAACATATTGAAGCGTCAATCAATTGTGCTCACATACCTCACACATACACACACACACACACACACACACATACACACACACACACATACACACACACACACACACATATGTATATACACACATGCCACAAACAAATATTTAGACACACAAACATACATACACGCACACACGCGCGCGCACCCTTATGCACACGTATCATATTACGGAATGTTACATATATAATTGATCAATTATTAATTATTATTATTTATTATTATTGCTATTATGTTATTATTATTATTACCATTATTATAGTTATTACTATCATCATCATAGATACACACAAATAACGTAACATAGTTTATTCAGAGTAAGGGGTTAAGGGGAGCAAAAAAAGTTTAAAACAAAAACTCGAGGATGGGCCACCCTATGTAAATTTTGCAAGAACTGTACACTAGAAATATACACTAGTATATTACTTATATTTAGTTTTACATTTGAGAAATCAAAATTGAAAAACTCTTGTCAAATCAAAAGTTATGCACCACTAAATTAATATATTTATCACCATAATTAATCATCATAAAATTAAAATTAAATGATATAAATTGAATTAAATGATATAAATTGAATTAAATGATATAAAATTAGATACAAAGTAAGATGGTTGTATCCGGATCAAGAAATGATAGTCGAGATCTTAGCTCATTCTTCAATAGATGCTGATCTGTAATAGCAATATTTTTAACGTTTCTGGGGACAAAGTTTTTCCAAATTCCAGGACCTACCTTCTTCACCCAAACACAAACATATGAACATGTTCACAAATACATTTACACATACAAGTGCAAATATACATACAAACATGCATACAAGTTAAAGAATTATCGTTTGAATGATCTTGTTTCACCTTACATTACATGCAGAATCATACATATCAATCTAAAACATACATACATACGTACACACACATACACACACACACACACATACATACATCAAACGCCCTGTATTCATAAACATTTGCCCTAATGTTACACATACATAAATATACAAATTGTGCATGCTATGCATACATTTGTATAAATAAAATAGTATGTATACAGATGTGTGTATGTGCGTGTATGTATGTGTGTATGTAGGTATATGTGTATGTGTGCATGTGTGTATTTGTGTATGTGTGTATGTGCACACATTTTGTACAGAAATTTCTCGCCTAATTAGCAGAGGCGCCGAAGAATTCCTATTTAATTCTTCTGATCATGCCAGGTTGCTATACGAAGGATGGACGAATGGATTGATGGCTGGATAAATGGCTGGATAAATGCATTGATGAATGGATAGATAAATGAGTGAATGGATGGATAAATGGATGTATGGATGATTGAATGAATGAATGGATGGATTGTCGATGAATGGTGAATGGCTGGATAGATGGGGGATAGAAAGATTGATGGAAGAAATTGTAGTTTGGATGGATTGATTTATAGATCATGCGTATGTTGTATTAGTGTAGATAAATGTATGGATAGCTGAATGAATGGATAGAGGGATAAATAGATAGATGGATGAATGAATGAATGATTGAACAAATGAACGAACGAATAAAAGAACGAATGAAAAAACAAAAAAAATAAACATAGGAATGTTATAAAAACATACATCTAAATGATTGATTGATGGAATGATAGAGAGAATGAATGAGTGATGGAAGGAAGGAGTGAATGAATGAATATCAGGTGATCATTTGTTCTTCATAGATGTTTCATCAAATGGCCAAAGAAATGTCTATTCGATATCTTTGATTATCATCATCGTTATCATCGTCGTCGTCGTCGTCATCTTCATTGTCTACGTCACTATTACGTCATCATATTCTTAATGATGATTTTATTTATTTATTCATTAATTTTTTTCATTTATTTATTTTATTATTTTTGATTTTTTTTTAAATAAATTTTATTGCACGAATAATGTCAAAATTTTATATAAATAATCGGCCACCTTAATACATTTACATGCATATAAACGCACACGTACACACGCACACTCACACACACACTCACACGCACACACTCGCACACACGCACGCAGATGTACAACGACAGCAATGAATGAATGAACGAATGAACGAATGAACGAATGAACGAATGAACGAATGAACGAATGAACGAATGAACGAATGAATGAATGAATGAATGAATGAATGAATGAATGAATGAATGAATGTATAGAATTAAAAATCAAAATCAAATCTCTTCTATTGTGTTTTCCGAAATAACAAATTTGTAATTTCTAAAATTTCACAAACAAACTCTTTGATTGGCCACCTCATTGAAATTCAAATTTCGTAACAGCCAATAGGAGACTACCATCGCTTTCGCAATTTAATTAGCCTAGAGATATCAAACGTCAATCAAATTCTTTCGTTGGGCGAATATCTTTGAAGCGGGTGTGTCTAATAACAATGATGGGAGGAGCTTATCAAAAAATACTCAAATTTCATTGGCCGAAAGATTAGAATAATAATAGAATTTCTCATTGAAATTGAAGACGATTTGGAAGTGCTAGTTACGG